AGTAGACTAGGCCTCAAATTATAATAGTTTTGAGTGAATTTTAGTTGCTTCTTTTATGTATATACGTTTTTGAACTGTTGTCTTGCCTCATCTGTATTGTTTTTATAAAACTTTGTTTTACAAATAAACATCTGATGTGTGACAAGTAATTTGTCGTCTATAATACTGAATCTGACTTTTGTTAAGTTGGCTTCTCCCGAGAGAGTCTTCTGGTGGCTAATAAGACACGATCGTCATAAAAAGGATTTCCCCCTTTTCTTTCCATGACAACCCAGATGGGAAGGTCGCCCTTGCCCAAAAGTTTCAATAGACCCTTCCACTCCTGTTCCCCAAGGGTATGCTGTCCATGTTAGGAGACAAGCCCAAGGAACTTCTTGACGGACAATGGAATCCATCTTTATCTAGCTGGATTCAGCAGACGATCTGCATCTCTTATTGGTGTCAACATAAATCACCTCCACATAGTTTCAAAAGGAATGTATAGTGGGTTTCGACATCCTTTTTTGTATGTTCAGGACTTAAATGAAAAATTTTCGGCTAAATACAAAAATGCTGCATAAAAATGTAGTGTCCAGCTATCAGAGGCCGAGCTAGTCTTTTTATACATTCAGATAGGGATGCACCGATGCCGACACTGAGTATTGACACTGAGTACTCCTACTCGCCCAAATGCTCCCGATACTTATAACGATGCTGGAACTTCCGGTTCAGGAAGCCGGGCGGGGAGTCATTACCCGCCGCCCAGTGATTCCGGCATACCTTCCAACTTTCCGAGATGAGAAAGAGGGACACCTTCTGGCATCCCGCCCAACTTTCCGAGATGAGTAAGAGGGACACCTTCCGGCATCCCGCCCAAGTTTCCGAGATGAGTAAGAGGGACACCTTCCGGCATACCTCCCAACTTTCCGAGATGAGTAAGAGGGACACCTTCCGGCATACCTCCCAACTTTCCGAGATGAGAAAGAGGGGCGCCTTCCGGCATACCTCCCAGGGGGGCCGAGTCATTACCTTCCCCCCGGCTTCCTGATTGGCCAGAAAGCCGGCTCCATGCTTTCTTGTCACCTGGTGATGAGGGAGCATGAAGACCGCTTCCCAGCTAATCAGAAAGCCGGGCAGTGAGTCATTCATAGGACTTCTGGTATCGGTGTTCGGTATCGGTGAGTACCGTAAAAAAAATATAGGTACTCGATACTGAAAAAAATGGTATGGGTGCATCCCTATGATTCAGAACATGGTTTTTCTCTCAGCTACACTGAGTCATCCAAGCAGTGGCTTCTCATGATCAGCTCAGTATATCGTTTCAATCAGGCGAAAGCAGCCTCAAAGCAAGCTGTTCTCTTTAGCTAACCCATAGTGCTTTGGGAACGTTTGTCACTTTTATACCGTTGCATGGTATATGTTGTAGAAATCAGCAAGTCTTCTAAACGGTGGCTGCCCTGTGTCAATAATTCCTTCCTCATAGAATCATTGATTGACACAAAGCTGTCATTGTGATTCATGACTCACCATTGGTTGACAAAGGCCTGTTTTACAAAGGCTTCATCTTGTATAAAAGCAATGTCTACAGTGTTTCCTCAACATTTACAAGCTTCAAACCTTTGAAGCGCCATTCAGCCACAGTTTGGTGGGGTGCACAAATATTAGTGAGAGTACAGATTGTCACTTCAAGCAGGCTCCTAGGAGGCTTCAGCACTACTTGAATCTTGATGAAAGCCTGCTAACTGCAGTGACGGTCAGCATTCCTACTGCGATCTGTCATTATCATCCCCATACCGGAACTGAAGTTTTCTTTAAAGGCTTTAACAAAGCTGTTCCAAGCTCGACAAATGCTTTGCAAACGCATGATGTACGCACTGCTCTTATGAAAGCTAAAACCCATGTGAACTAGGCCAAATAATCCAGGAGGACTGCTAAGGAGCAATCTACAGGAGAAGATAACTAATGTTGATCACAAGGTGGGAGCTGAGTTCCTTCCTTATAAACAATTTGTGGTGCAGAGAAGGGACTAGCAACCTAGATGTCCACCAGCCTGCCATTGTGTGCATTAGTACTGACTGCCCAAGGCCACTGTTCTTCAACATTGTGCCATGTACCCGAATACAAGTCCCTTACATGTCACATTTCCAAACGTCCCCTTTAAGTTAGTACCATTGTTGTCAGCACCCATCCAATTTATAAATTTTTAGAAGGCCTCTTTTGTGTCTCATTAGGATATCAAGTATCTGCTCTCGACAAATATTTTGAACAATGTTACTGTGTTACCCTGAGTACAATTTAAAAGGAACCAATACCCTGTTCTCAGATGTTCCCACAAAGTTAAGAGTTTCTGCCCTGTCTACAAAAAACTAGGCTCTGAAGGACTTTGTCTTATGACCATATCACAATGCTTTCCTCGGTTTCTTCAAAGGGAACATATAATGGTTTTGGTCAGTTCAATTTTTTTAGATTTAGACACTTGTTCTATATCTTTTTTTTTTTCATTATCTGACACTTAGTGACAGTTTACAATACATGCTGATGCTGGGCTTTCTTATAAGTATAGGAAGGTTTACCATGTAAGAGCTGTAGGTTGATATTTGCATATCGTGATCCCTAGTCGGTGGTACCCGGGAAGATAAATCATGGTACTAGTGAACATCTCTTGGTGGATCTCCATATCTTCCTTCCCTTATGGTATACTTTGCTGACGGACTGTTCCTTCGTGCTTTGGGGACAGTTAGTGAAACCTGAAAGCCACTTCACGTCCTTCAGGTACCCCGGGCCCTGCATGTTTACCGCTTTTCATATCAGTTGGCTGAACTTGAAGTATGTTTGCTGTTTTATTGCCAACCAGTACAAGGAAGCAATACATGGTATTATCATATAAAATAAAAGACACAAACAGGAAGCAAGACCTTCATATTTAATGAGCAAATACCATCTGAGGCCAGAAGTCTTTCAGTGCGGGTTAACTTTAAATTAGAAAGAAGCCAGATATATCACTGACATGGATTAAAGGGCCAGTGTACCCCAAAACAGTCATTTAGTTACAGTTGGAGCTTAGTGGTTTGAGCCAGCCCCCATTTTCTGAAATGTCCTAGACACTCCAACAGCGGGAATTCCCTTCCATCATTTCCAACTCTTCCATCGGGGAGTTTTGGGTGACCGTGCCTACATTTGTGTGTTCCAGCTCCTCTGTTGACTCTTCCATAATAATAAAACAAATCCAGCAGGGAGGGTGGGAATCCTTCATAATGGGCACAAAACACATGTGAAGACCAAGAAACCCAATTCCAGGTATGGTGGGAGCCTCTCAAAATGGGCACAGTAGCTGTGTAGACAAAGGAACTTAGCTTAGGGATGGTGGGAACCCCTCATAATGGGACAAGTTGATGTGTAGACAGGGCCGGATTTCCCATAAGGCCAACCAAGGCCCAGCCTCAGGGGGAGCAGGATTGTGGAAAACCTATGTCCCGATACCCGAGACATGCAGTTTCGGGCGCCGGGCGGGTAGTTGTTTTCTACATTTAGCCCTGATTAGAGCAAGCAGACCTAAATGTACAGCAAGGGAAACAGCTCACTTGTTTCATAAAAGTGATCTTGGCTATGTCGCCGAGATCACTTGCATGCAGCCTGCAGGCCTGCCATTCTCCCATGGGGGAGGGGGGGGGGATTTGGCGGGTAGGGGGGCGCATTGAGGAACCTGGCCTTGGGGCAACTGAGAGAGTAAATCCGGCCCTGTGTGTAGACCCAGGAACTCAGCACAGGGATAGTGTGCACCCCTCATAATGGGTACAGTAGGTGTGTAGACCCAGAAACGTAGCTTAGGGATGTTGGAAACCCCTCATAATGGGTACAGTAAGTGTGTAGACCCAGAAACGTAGCGTAGGGATGGTGGAAACCCCTCATAATGGGTACAGCAGGTGTGTAGACCCGGGAACTCAGCTCAGGGATAGTGGGAACCCCTCATAATGGGCCTAGTAGGTGTGTAGACCCAGGAACTCAACTCAGGGATAGTGGGAACCCCTCATAATGGGTACAGTAGTTGTGTAGACCCGGGAACCCAGTGCAGGAATGGCGTAAAGACCTGAGAACGCAGCTCAGTGATAATGGGAACCCCTCATAATGTGTACAGTAGGTGTGTAGACCCAGAAACGTAGCTTAGGGATGGTGGAAACCCCTCATAATGGGTACAGTAAGTGTGTAGACCCAGAAACTCAGCTCAGGGATAATGGGAACCCCTCATAATGGGCACAGCAGGTGTATAGACCCGGGAACTCAGCTCAGGGATGGTGGGAAACCCTCATAATGGGTACAGTAGGTGTGTAGATCCGGGAACCCAGTGCAGGAATGGCATAAAGACCTGAGAACGCAGCTCAGGGAAAATGTGAACCCCTCATAATGGGTACAGTAGGTGTGTAGACCCAGAAACGTAGCTTAGGGATGGTGGAAACCCCTCATAATGGGTACAGTAAGTGTGTAGACCCAGAAACGTAGCTTAGGGATGGTGGAAACCCCTCATAATGGGCCTAGTAGGTGTATAGACCCAGAAACTCAGCTCAGGGATAATGGGAACCCCTCAGAATGGGCACAGCAGGTGTATAGACCCGGGAACTCAGCTCAGGGATGGTGGGAACCCCTCATAATGGGCACAGCAGGTGTATAGACCCGGGAACTCAGCTCAGGGATGGTGGGAACCTCTCATCTCACCAATAGGGTGCCACAAGCATAAGAAACTGCTAGGCAGGTTAACCTCTCCAGCATCTAACAGACACTAAAATATCCATTCCAGAAGAACAAACCCTTTAATTATTAAAGCTCATGTGCATCGAATAGCTACACGATAATCTACCTATGTATCCATTAATACATCATTAAATGTAGCCCCTCACTATAAAGGGGTGGGTTCCCAGCAGCCAATAGGGATGAGCTCAAGTTCGGCCCGCACCAGAGCTCCTCCGAAGACAGAAGGAGGCTCCTTCTGTGTCTGTAGCAGTTTGCCTGGAGTTCAGATTAAAAAACAAAAATGAACGGAACTTGTTTTCTATCAGCAGATAAGTATATTTATCTGCCACAGACCATCTCCCTCATTCAGTCCAAGCATGTGGCTCCAAGTTTAGGTGGACCTGCTGATGTTTGACAAGCCTGGAATTGGTGATGAAACCTCTCCCGCACACAGAACAGGAATATGGATGAATACCGGTGTGAACGACTTGATGTGTGACAAGCCTCGCCCTTTCATTAAAGCGTTTCCCGCATTCGGCACATGAATACGGCTTCTCCCCGGTGTGAGTCCTCTGATGTATCATAAGGTGGTCACTGCGGGTGAAATGCCTCCCACATTCAGCACACAAATACGGCTTCTCCCCCGTGTGGATCTTCTGGTGTTTACTAAAAGCTGAATACAGAGAAAAACACTTTCCGCACACTGGACACGAATATGGCTTCACCCCCGTATGCGATCTCTGATGCTCGATGAAAGTGGTCCTCCAGGTAAAACATTTCCCGCATTCTGGACATGAGTATGGCTTCACCCCCGTGTGAGTCCTCTGGTGGTTAATAAGGCTGGTTCTCCGGGTGAAACATTTGCCACATTCGGAGCACGAAAATGGCGTCAAACCAACATGAATCCGCTGATGTTTGGCAAGGTAGGCTCTTCGGGTAAAGCACTTCCCACACTGCGCACAGGAATAGAGCTTTTCCTCTGTTTGCGATCTTGGGTGGGATGCGAGGTCCTCCGTCTGGGTAAAATATTCACCACGATCAGAAGATGGTAATGTATCACCCACACCGGAAAATATAGGATGGCTGATAGGAGGACAGAGATTAGGAAACTCGCCCTCATGTGTAAAGGGATCAGAGGACAGCGCTGCACTGGGAGGTATGAGATGGAGATTTGGGGTAATGCCGCTCACTTGGCACATGATCTCATCGTCTTCTGTTTTACCGTCTGGAGTGATGAAGCAGAATTTCTCTCTGTTATTTCCGCTGGGTTGTCCACCTGGAGGAAATAAGAAAATAGGAGTTGGTAGGAACGGTTGAAGGACCCTAAAGATTGGCTTTTCTAGGCTTTGCCATCTAGTAGGGATGCACCAATACTGGTTTTTCGGTATTGAGTACCGATATTTACTTTTTGCTACTCGCCGATACCGAGTACTGATACTGCTACTTCCGCCAGCATGGTGGCGGCTTCCTTGGCAATCAGGAAGCCGGGCGACATGTCATTACCCGCCACCCGTCTTCTTGATTGCCCGGGAAGCCGGCTTCCTGGCCAATCAGGAAGACGGTAGGTGGGTTGTTACGCCCCATCAGGCTTCCTGTTTGGCCGGGAAGCCGGCTTTATACTGTTTGGCCGGCTCCATGCTGAATGGCCAGGAAGCTGGCTTCCCAGCCAATCAGCATGGAACTGGCTTCCTGGCCAATCAGAAAGCCGGGAGGCGGGTCATTACCCACCGGCCGGCTTCTTGATTGGCCAGGAAATCAGCTTGATGCTTTGCAGCCAATCAGCATGGAGCCGGCTTCCTGGCTCACCATCCGGCTTCCTGATTGCCGGCTCCATGTTCCCTCGTGACACTGCAGGTCAGAGGAAATCTCCCTCTGACCTCTGACCGGAAGTTCTGGTATCGGGGAAGGTATCGGAGCACTTGACGAGTACGAGTACTTGCCCAAATACTTGGTATCGGTGCATGCCTGCCATCTAGGATATGTTTGAAAGAGGTATTATAGTGGAAGTGATATTTTCCAACACTCAGGTGACCTCAGGAGCCGTGTGACCCATCTCTGTCCCACTGTTGATATGTCTGCATGACTACGACATCTAATAATGTTATATCCTTGCTTTTGACAACTCCATCTTCATGATGTCCTGGGCTATAGAACAACACCTATGACTCTCAAAATATATGTAATGAGATACATTTCAGATGGGTTCTTTAGGGCGCTGTACCTCAGAGAGGATGAACAAGGAGAATCTGGGACTCTTTTCTGGATTTATTATTTATTACTCACCTGTGCTCATCTCTGGAGGAACGTCCTCCACTTTAATCCTCACATGTTCTTCTTCCTCCTCCTCAGCTTTGACGTCTCTCTGAGTGTCTCTGGTGTCTCCGGGGTCTGTGAATAAAGAGGAGAGTGAAGCCCCCTGTACTGAGATGTATGAGAGACCCCAGAGAGTGTGTGTGGGGGGAGACTGGTCACGTCTCTTGGCTGGTAACACACAATGACATGATGTGAGGAGGAGAGGCGGAGTCTAATAGAGGCTGATGGCTCCTGACTCCCCCCACTAGACACATTCCGTCCCCCCATTACTGTCTACAGACAGAGGAGGGGGGAGAAGAAGAGATTGTTGTAGTGACTGAACAAGGATTTAGTGTTTATTCCTCACCTGTGCTCATCTCTTCCATACATGGCTCCTCAGACCTCACATATGGCTCTCCTACTCCCTCTTTTGCCTGTGTTCTACCATCAATCCGGGTAACATCCAGTGTCACCTATACAAGAGTAACAATGATACACTGTTAACAGAAGCACAATCTTTAACTTTAAAGGAACCTGACACACACAATGATACAGTCACCATCCAGACACATCCCTTGTCTGTTCCTGGATCATGTCCAAGAATTCCCGACACCGCTCACCTCTCCCGTCAGCAGACCAATGATCTCGCTGGTGACTTCTTCAATCTTCTTGTTCTTTCTCAGGGAGTGAGATGGAGGATCTATGTCGGGGTTTTGGGTCTTCTTCATGTTGGTTGCCACCAAACCATTGGATAACTTGAAAGCGATATAATTCTACATTTAATGAAAAAGAAATGGTTATGACACTGTATGAAGCAGATTAAACATCCCCAGTGCATAAAAGTAGATTTCAGGTCTGTGTTTTATGAATAGAGATAAGAGTGATGTCATGTGACCTCCCAGAATCCTCCTCACCTCTCCGGTCAGGTCTGTGTTTTATGAATAGAGGTATGAGTGACGTCATGTGACCTCCCAGAATCCTCCTCACCACTCCGGTCAGGTCTGTGTTTTATTAATAGAGATAAGAAGGACGTCATGTGACCTCCCAGAATCCTCCTCACCTCTCCAGTCAGGTCTGTGTTTTATGAATAGAGATAAGAGTGATGTCATGTAACCTCCCAGAATCCTCCTCACCTCTCCAGTCAGGTCTGTGTTTTATGAATAGAGATAAGAGTGATGTCATGTGACCTCCCAGAATCCTCCTCACCTCCCCGGTCAGGTCTGTGTTTTATGAATAGAGATAAGAGTGACGTCATGTTAGGGTTGCCACCTGTCCAGGATTGACCCAGACAGTCCGGGTTTTGAATGCTGTGTTCGGGTTTCCTGGCAGCAGAAACCCGGACACACGATGTCAAGCAGACAGGGGCAACCAAAATTAAGATAGGGGCTATTAGCCCCTCACGGAAAATAGTCTCGACTGTGATATTTACATATGAATAAGCTGCGACTCATTCTCCCACAAAAATGTCTGCGCGTCACTAGAGTGTTCGGGTTTCGCTTGAAGAAAAGGTGGCAACCCTACGTCATGTGACCTCCCAGAATCCTCCTCACCTCTCCGGTCAGCTCTGTGTTTTATTAATAGAGATAGAGTGATGTCATGTGACCTCCCAGAATCCTCCTCACCTCTCCGGTCCGGTCTGTGTATTATGAATAGAGATAAAAGTGATGTCATGTGACCTCCCAGAATCCTCCTCACCTCTCCGGTCAGGTCTGTGTTTTATGAATAGAGATCAGAGTGATGTCATGTGACCTCCCAGAATCCTCCTCACCTCTCCGGTCAGGTCTGTGTTTTATTAATAGAGATAAGAGTGACGTCATGTGACCTCCCAGAATCCTCCTCACCTCTCCGGTCAGCAAGTAGACAATCTCCAGGGTGAGGTCTATTATCCTCTCGGTCATGTGACTCCGCTCCTTCTCCATTTTTAGTCAGCTGATATGTCTAGTGATGCTTCTTAGTCAACATCCACATTGCCTGAAACAATAGAAAAAAACATTTTAAAGAACAGGCTGAAGCACATTACTTCCTAAGCCATAATGAGACAGAAATACTAGACGGGACCAGGTGCCCAGGGCTAGCTTATGTTTTGCACTTGGCACCTCTTATAAATCAGGAAGCCCACATGAGACGGGGATGGCGGTAACGTAGACTTAACAGCTCCTGTCCCCAACAGGCATAGGGTGTATGTCCATGGCAGCTTTAAAGCACTTGAGATGTTCTAGTTCCTTTAAGCTCCCTTTGCATCCATAGTACATGTATAAGAGGCACTAGATCATCATGACCATATGGTGTGGTGCTAGGGTTGCCACCTGTCCAGGATTCACCCAGACAGTCCGGGTTTTGAATGCTGTGTCCGGGTATCATGGCAGCAGAAACCCAGACACAAGATGTCAGGCAGACAGGGGCAACCAAAATTAAGATAGGGGCTACTGGCCCCCCACTGAAAATAGTCTCAACCGTGATATTTACATATGAATAATCCGCGACTCATTCTCCCAAGACAAAAATCTCAGAGCCTCACTAGAGTGTTTCGGGTTTCGCTTGAAGAAAAGGTGGCAACCCTATGTGGTGCCCTTACTGATAATATAATACAATTTGTTTTGAAGAAGAAGGAGGACCCTTGCAACCCTCAAAACACATCATCTCTCTTTTTCCATTAATCATTTCATAAAAAAACATTCTGGACTCTATGACCATTGGTGTGGCACTCAAACAGAGCCCATATAGAGCTCAGAGCATTTGGAGTTCAAAAATACTTGGTGACCCAACAAAGCGTCTTCTAGAATAGCACGCTGTTCCAGGGCCTGGCTCGGCAGGTCTACCTCAGGTTGCTCACTTTTCAAAGACAAGTGAGGTCTACAAATGCCCGGCTCTATCACTGCTGTAGGACCTTTTAAGTGAATGGCCCACTCGTGTTCAGAAGGTCTGACCCAAAAAAGCATCCATCCATAGCTTGACCACTTTGGTATGCTGAAGGACAACAAGACGAGTCTGGAGTCAGTCCAACTTGGGTCCCTCCGCAACGCCAAAGCCTTTCCCAGGGGCCGTCACTGGGGGTCTCTCCCAGTGACCTCTGTCATGGCCATACCTAGGAACATTTACAACTGGGCGAAGGGGGGAACGACTGAAGGCAGAGGTCTTCCTGTGCCACCGTCTAGTGTTGCCTAGCGACACTTTGTTTATTTTTACATCGACGCTGGATAGTCGGAGAACAAAGCGAAAAAGCTTACATTGCCAGGCCAGATCAAGTAAGTTCCCAGGTATGGTCATGGCATGTGGTTGTCAAATCAATGCAGGGGGTCTGTCCTGTGCTGTGCTGAGTAGAGTGGTTTGTATCCTTCACATATCCACATGGACACGTGACCCCTTTATCATATCCATAATTGTCCAAGAGTGCTACGACCATTACCTTTTCCTTACTGGGCGACTCACAACCCTTCCAGGAGCTCCTCTTTTCCTCCGGACTACAACAAAATGGCTGCTGTGCTCACACCCGGAGCAATGGCTTGTGTTTTTAAATTTGTACTCATACTTAATTTTGCGCAGTACAAAATTACTTTGGATCTTGTTTACACAGCACTGAATATGTTTTACCAAAACATTTTTGCAAACAAGATAATTAAGTTTGTAGATGTGCTACAACAGAATGGCCGCCAACCCTCCAGATCTGAGGACAATTCCTTCTCCAACAGAGCAGACATTGCCCTCTAGTGGTGGCTTTGGCTCCACGCTGGAATACTTGGACGTGTTGTGTAGCTCAGCATTTCTTAACCTTTTTTCAGTCACGACACCCTTTCAAAGTATGAAAAATCTCGAGGCACCCCAGTCTACAATGTAAAAAATGTAAATGGAAGAAATGTCATGTGGCCCCTCCAAAATCCATGCCAGACCCTTATCCCAGATAGTGGTCTGGGATAGGTTTTAAGGGGGGACCCTATGCAAAAACAGTTTTTCCTTTCACATTAGAACCCCCCCCCCCCCCCCCCCTTTCATATCAGAATTCCATCTTTCACATCAGGACCCCTCCTTCACATCAGGAACTCTCCTTCACATCAGGACCTCTCCTTCACATCAGGATCCCTCCTTCACATCAGGATCCCTCCTTCACATCAGGACCTCTCCTTCACATCAGGACCCTTCCTTCACATCAGGATCCCTCCTTCACATCAGGAGCTCTCCTTCACATAAGGACCCCTCCTTCACATCAGGACCCCTCCTTCACATAAGGAACTCTCCTTTCCTTCACATCAGGAACTCTCCTTCACATCAGGACCTCTCCTTCACATCAGGAACTCTCCTTCACATCAGGAACTCTCCTTCACATCAGGAACTCTCTTTCACATCAGGACCCCTCCTTCACATCAGGAACTCTCCTTCACATCAGGACCTCTCCTTCACATCAGGATCCCTCCTTCACATCAGGACCCCTCCTTCACATCAGGACCTCTCCTTCACATCAGGACCTCTCCTTCACATCAGGACCCCTCCTTCACATAAGGAACTCTCCTTTCCTTCACATCAGGAACTCTCCTTCACATCAGGACCTCTCCTTCACATCAGGAACTCTCCTTCACATTAGGAACTCTCCTTCACATCAGGACCCTTCCTTCACATCAGGATCCCTCCTTCACATCAGGATCCCTCCTTCACATCAGGAACTCTCCTTCACATCAGGAACTCTCCTTCACATCAGGACCCCTCCTTCACATCAGGACCCTTCCTTCACATCAGGACCTCTCCTTCACATCAGCACCCTTCCTTCACATCAGGAGCTCTCCTTCACATTAGGAGCCTTGATGCTGGTGGCCAGCCAGCTTGTCTGTATCATGGATAGGGTGGGAGGGGGCGTGGCGGTGCATTAAAGTCAATGGCACCGCGGTGCGATCACCTGCACCGGAACGCATGGCAAATCAATGCCTGCGTTCCATTGCAGTCAGAAAATATAGTGTATGCAAATGGAGTTCCCTGACTGGACATCCCCCAACTACGGTGTCTTCCCCATCCCTCTGTCTGAACTGCGGTCCGCAAGTGTCAAAAACACGGAGGCAGCTGCGTGTGGGGGGCCCTCTTCTTTCTCCCTGGGCTCCCCCCAACTGGCCGAACACCAGGGCCCGGTTGCCTGGTGTTCGGCACAGTGGCAGAGGGAGAGCTGGGGTCATTGAACACAGACAGTGGTGGGACAGAGGTGGGCACAGTGGCAGAGGGAGAGCTGGGGGGACAGTAAACACAGACAATGGTGGGACAGAGGTGGGCACAGTGGCGGAGCGAGAGCTGGGGGATCAGTAAACACAGACAGTGGTGGGACAGAGGTGAGCACAGTGGCAGAGGGAGAGCTGGGGGGTCAGTAAACACAGACAGTGGTGGGACAGAGGTGGGCACAGTGGCAGAGGGAGAGCTGGGGGGACAGTAAACACAGACAATGGTGGGACAGAGGTGGGCACAGTGGCGGAGCGAGAGCTGGGGGATCAGTAAACACAGACAGTGGTGGGACAGAGGTGAGCACAGTGGCAGAGGGAGAGCTGGGGGGTCAGTAAACACAGACAGTGGTGGGACAGAGATGGGCACAGTGGCAGAGCTGGGGGGGTCAGTAAACACAGACAGATGTGGGCACAGTGGCAGAGCTGGGGGGGTCAGTAAACACAGACAGATGTGGGCACAGTGGTAGAGCTAGGGGTCATTGAACACAGACAATGGTGGGAGAGGAGAGAGGTGGACACAGTGGCAGAGTGAAGGGGGGTCAGTGGACACAAAGGCAGTGGTGGGAGAGGAGAGAGATGGGCACAGTGGAAGGGGAAGAGCCGGAGGAGAGTCAGTGCACACAGAGGCAGTGCCCCTCCCGAGACTAGACTCTGGACCCGCCCCTGCACCAACCAAAGTTACAAGTTAATTACCATTATATGGCCAAGTTTGTGGACACCTGACCATCACAACTATATGAGCTTGCAGGACACCCTGTTTCAAACTGTGGGTAAGCATATGGAGTTGGCTGCCCCTTTGTGGCTCCACCTTGCTGGTAAGGCTTTCCATGCCGTTTTGGTGTCTGTGGGAATTTGTGACGTCAGGGACTGATGTTGGATGACAAGATCTGGCTCACGATCATCGTTCTAATTCATGCCAAAGGTGTTCAGTTGGGTTGAGGTCATGGCTCTGTGCAGGACACTTGAGGTTCTCCAGGCCTAACTGGCCCAACCATGTTTTTATGAAGCTGATTTTGTTCATGGGGGGGGGGCAGTCATGCTGGAACAGAAAAGGGCCTCCACCAAACTATTGCCGCAAGGTTGGAAGCGTACAATTGTCTACAATGTCTTTGTATGCTGTAGGTTTACCAATACCCTTCACTGGAGACACCTGAACTAAAACATTTGGATGGGGTGTCAAACTTTGTGAGGTCAGGTGCCGATGTTGCATGAGAAGACCTTGTTCCACTTCATCCCAATGGGGTTCAGTAGGGTGAGGGCTCCCGGAGTCTACAAAGCCCATACTCGGTCAAACGTTTGTGGACACCTGACCATCACACTTGACCATCACACCTTCTCGGAAGATTCGGATACGTTTTGGCCGTATAGAGGTGTGACGATTTTGTGTGGCCAAAAATACTCAGCCATATGCTTTCTCCTCCTGTCAAGATGCTCTCTGGGTCAGATTGGCAGCGGGGGAGGGGATTACACAAAACGAACATTGACAGATTGAGGTACAGCTTAAAAATACAATTTGTTTTTTAATAAATACATGTGCGTCAATAAACAGAAAAACCAATCCATGATCATCCTTCTATACATGGAGCTCTGCTTTACAGTATAAGGGAACACTCGGCACAAGAATCAAGACTGAAACAAAGGAAACATTCGTAATTTAACAAAATCGAACTGAGTAATCTTGAAAATTTGGCCTCCTTTACCTTTTTCGGAGCATTTGTTCTGCGGTCATGTGACCACATGCTTCCTTTGGGTGTCTTTGCTGCATAGTGGGGACGTGTATGGTTAGTGAGCAAGAAAGAGTAACCAATGATTGACGGGGACCGTACCAATGATTGACGGGGACCGTACCAATGATTGACGGGGACCGTACCAATGATTGATGGGGGCTGTACCAATGATTGATGGGGGCTGTACCAATGATTGATGGGGGCCATACCAATGATTGATGGGGGCCGTACTTCTCCATGTGTCTATCATGCATTTCGGAGGGTTCCTTTTGGCCTTCCACGCTGGTACCGGCTGCTCCCCTAAATTGAGGTGATTGGCTGGAGAACAGTTCATTTTTTTCATTCTAACAACCTGATTGGATGAAAGACCAGAAACAACGTGGAATGCAGAAAGGAAACCTCCCTTAAGGCATGATGGACACATAGGGAAGAGCAGAAGAGGCTGGTCAGAGGGGGGCATGGCAGGTGAACTGACCGCAGCAGATACAGACACACCGTGTGTCAACAAGCGTCCACGCCAGCACAGATCTACTTCCATGGTCAGAATAAAAAGGGGCAGAAGGGGAAAAAAATAAAAGCAGTCAAAAACCAGCAGGCCACATTTCCATAATACTTGATTAAAGAACAGACACGTATCTAATATTTTTTGGGGTAACATACACTTTAAAGGTCGTAAGGTCCTGCGCGAGTTTACCAGGACTTGATTTCGCACCAAAACCTCGAGCTCTCTTGCACGCCGTACATGAAGACGGGTGAGGTTCGCTTTATTTGATGCATGACAAGTTTTCAGCAAAGCATTGCTCACGTTCCCATAATTGTAATGGTTTCCATCCCATATGAGTTCTCTGATGACAGCTTCCTTGCGCTCACAGTACAATCCTTAATTGGAGTCCATTGAGGGACACGAGAAGTCTTTCACCTTTGGGTTATACTGCAGTCAACAGGAGTAGACATTATCGAGCAAAAAAAGCTGTAGGTCAGCCAACTACCAGCAGGTCTCGGATGGCAAAACAGGACCAGGAGCATGATCTAAAAAGGGGTGGGACTTATGTCTCTCAAAGGATTCCAAGAAAAGGGTTTTACGGGAAGTACAAAAAGCCGATTTTCTTTCTCTGCCATTGAGTGACAGTGAAATTCTTTCACCTTCGGGACTTGGATAAGGCCCAAGGTGAAGAATAGCTAAAAACTGGGCACTGCCTGCAGCTCAAGAACGGCCTGTAGGACCTTACGCTTGAAGATGGTGGAAACAAATGTGTGAACAGAAGATCAAGTGGCAGCCTTGCATTAGGAATAGATACTTGATACTTTGACCTGGCTTGGCTATCTATTCTGCTGCTCTTCTGGATCCCCTCGACCTCTGACTACGCTCTTGTCTGCTGCTCTGTACCTCGCTGCCCGCAAGTTGCTGATCCGGCCTGTCCCTGACTACGCCTTGTCTACTGTCCTGGTACCTCGCTGCTCGACTGTTACAGATCCGGCTTGTTTTGGACTTCGCTGCTACCGGCACTCGTGCCTCTCCTGTCCTAGTGCACCTGTTCCACCTCCAGGGGTTCTTAGACTTGAGCTGCAAGAGAGGCCTTCCTCCTCAACTCAGACTCCTCTAAGGTACGTGGTTTCTGACAATAAGGTTGCAGACTTCAGCACCTTCAGAAAGAATGGAACAGACATCCCCGGAACCATTGACGGAGTTGTGAGCTGGGTTCACCCGTTGCCGTGGGAATGTCCCCTCTGTGTCTAGAAACAGGCTTTGCGACTGTGTAGCAGTAAGAAGTATGAAGCAAGGCCTCAGGTACTCATGAAACCCAGACAGTTGGTAGCAGGTAAGAGTTGGATGGGCGGAGGTGAGCAAAGTCAATGTAGTCGGGAAGTAGGGATGAACCAATGGTAGAATGCCCATGTGGCTGTTCTACAAGCAGGAACAGAAGCAAGGGTATGCTTTTTCGATGCTGTATGGCGGCATACAGAACAGGGAGCTCTTTCGTGTGACATTCCATCCATTTATTACACCAGCACTCAGCCCCACAACATTAACCCCTTCCCCGGGGGAAAACAGGTCATTTAAAGGTGTCCAACGACTTACGCATATGAGGAAGATCCTGATGCTCAACCCAAGCAGACAACTCATAGCGGGAGTCTTCAGAGATAGGGCAAGCGTTGAGGCAATGCCAGGGGAGACCTGTTGCTAATTTGGTTCCAGAACCGGGTCAGGAAAAGGCCTTACGTAGAACCCAGTGGCCTTCCTTCTTGAACACTATCACCAAACTAAAGCATGCTGGTAGTGGGAGGGGTTATGCTTTGCTTGCCAGTTTCCAATCCTCAGATTGGTGGCAGTATAACCCGAAGACAAAATACTTCCCGTGTCCCTCAATGGATGAGAAAGAAAATGGCCTCCAGCGATAAAACATTCCTCTCATTCCGAACATGACCGTGGCTTCACCTCGAGTGAGTTCTCCGGTGTTTAATAAGACTGCTTCGCCTTGAAAAACATTTCCCACATTCCAAACATGCATAAGGCTTCTCTCCGGTATGAAGCTTTTCGTGGGTCAGAAGGTGTGACCTCCGAGAGAAACGTTTCCCGCATTCTAAACATGAATACGGCTTCTCTCCGGTATGAAGCTTTTCATGGGTGATCAGGTGTGATCTCTGAGAGAAACATTTCCCACACTGTAAACACGAATAGGGCTTCTCCCCAGTATGAAGCTTTTCGTGGGTGATCAGGTGTGATCGCTGAGAGAAACATTTCCCGCACTCTGCACAAGAATACGGTTTCTCCCCCGTGTGAATCCTCTGGTGCCTAGAAAGAGCCGAACTCGTTGTAAAACTTTTCCCACACTCTGAACATGAATACGGCTTCTCCCCAGTGTGAGTTTTCTGATGCGAGATAATAGTCCCTAGCTGTGTCAAACACTTCCCCCACTCTGAACAAGGATACGGCTTCTCAGCAACGTGAATTCGCTGATGGAGAACAAGACACGACTTCTGCGCAAACGATTTCCCGCATACAGCGCACAAATGCGGCTTCTCTGCGGTGTGAGTCTTCTGGTGGGCGAGGAGGGTTGCCTTCTGGGCAAAAAATTTCTCGCATATGGAACACTGGAACATCTCATCATCAATATGATAAGGGGTACGATTGTAATGTTCGGGAAAACTCCCCCCATGTGTGGGGGGAACAGGTGCCAGATCTAAGTTGGAAAGTACTGGATGGAGATAGGAGGCGACGGGATTTTCTTCTGTAGAATCCTCCGAGAGGTCGTCGTCTTCGGTTTCACCATCTGGACAGATAATAGATGTGTACTCAATGCGTTGTCCATCTGGGGGAAATAAGAGATGGAAAGGAATAGGTTAAAGGGCTGCTATACATAAAGTACAGTATATGTCTGATTACGTACAATGTCTTTTCAATCACATTCATATATTCTAATACATGGTACCACGTTGGGGCATTATTTCCTTGCACACAGCTGACTTCCTGTCCAATGAGCCCATCCCAGAATGCAAACCGTGGTTCCAAAGGACCCTTTGCTAGTGAACCCTCCGCGTACCAACCACTGTCTACAGGCCCAACATGAAGACCATCAAAATGCATCATCAAAGCCCTTCTCCTGATGTGGTTTTAAGTTCCCCACTGAACATAGACAAGTAAGAAGGATTCTGGGAGGTCACATGACATCATTCCCGTCTCTATTAATATTATATGGACCTGATGGAAAGTTGAGGAGGATTCTGGGAGGTCACATGACATCACTCTTATCTTTAGTAATAAAACACAGACCTGACCAGGGAGGTTAGAAGGATCATGGGTCACGTGACATCATTCTAAAACACAGATCAATCAGGAAGCCGGACAACACCTAATGACCCGCTGCCCAGCTTCCTGATTGGTCAGAAAGCCAGGCAGCCTCGGTGTGAAGCCGGTGTTCTTTCGATAGAGCAGACATGTAATGCTTCCTCCATTGTCCAGAAGGACACCGGGATCTCTGCAAGGACGTCATGATGGAGAACCGGCCGCCCCTTACATCACCGGGTAAGAGGAGACTTTCATTTCTTGAGTATTGAGGATCCCCCTAGATACACACATCCTCTGATATAAAGACATAGAAACAATGTATTCAGTCAGTGTGTGTGTTTCCTACAGATGGATCCAGGAACAGAAATACCCCAGAGAGATGTCCCCGTCCTCTGTATTCCCGGGACTCCACACAGGAACATCAGGAGATCCCTCAGACCCATCCTCTGTATTCCCAGGATTCCACACAGGAACATCAGGAGATCCCTCAGGCCCGTCTTCTGTATGCCCGGGATTCCACACAGGAACATCAGGAGATCCCTCAGGCCCGTCTTCTGTATTCCCGGGATTCCACACAGGAACATCAGATCATCCCTCAGGCCCGTCCTCTGTATTACCGGGATTCCACACAGGAACATCAGGAGATCCCTCAGGCCAGTCTTCTGTATTCCCGGGATTCCACATAAGAACATCTTATGATCCTACAGGAGAACCAGGTAGAAGGAATCTGAAACTGAATATCGAGCATCGCCTATTCTAAACACGCAGACCCATGAAACACCTCTGATTGAACCTTAAATACAGAGTAATATGGCCTCTAGAAGCAGACATGTAATGCTTCCTCCATTGTTGTGAAAATATGTCTGAGGCACATCCTCTTGGTTTCATCCTCCATTATGGTTCAGTTCAGCACTGGTGAGACAGGGCGCCTAGATGATGTTTTGAGACGTTCCTCCCCGTCATAAAAAGTACCTTTCACCTCATATTTCCTAGACAGGGACACAGTAATGATGCGTTCTCATTATTTAAAAAAAATCATCCTTCTTGGGTAGTTAATGGTGGAGGTGACCAGGCTAGTCAAAGGACAGAAACTAGAGAGGAAGCAGAAGAGCCAAGTGTGAGGGGTGATGGACCATGTAAGGAGGAGGAAATCACTCCAGAGATCAACATGGAGGAATAATAAACACACCAAATCCAGAAATGTGAGTTTAATCCGATTCAGGCAATAGAGCATTTGTGAGGAACTGATGTTGGACAAGGCTTGGAATCCGCATACCGGTTCAACTCGAGTTCCTTCACACCAAACCGGTCAAACCATATCTGCATAGAGCTAGAATTTTCCACAGGGAACAGAAAAGGATCTTCCCCATATTGTTGCCAGCTCGAGTTCCTGAGTTCCTTCACGCCAAACCATATCTTTATGGAGCTAGAACTGTGCACAGGGAACAGAAAAGGATCTTCCCCAAATTGTTGCCAACTCGAGTTCCTTCACACCAAACCATATCTGCATGGAGCTAGAATTGTCCACAGGGAACAGAAAAGGATCTTCCCCATATTGTTGCCAACTTGAGTATGTTTACACCAAACCGGTCAAACCATTTCTTTATGGAGCTACAACTGTCCACAGGGAACAGAAAAGGATCTTCTGCAAATTGTTGCCAATTCAAGTTCCTTCACACCAAACTGGACAAACCATTTCTTTATGGTTATAGAATTGTCCACAGGGAACAGAAAAAGGATCTTCCCCATATTGTTGCCAGCTCGAGTATGTTTACACCAAACCGGTCAAACCATTTCTTTATGGAGCTACAACTGTCCACAGGAAACAGAAAAGGATCTTCCCCAAATTGTTGCCAAAGTGAGTTCCTTTACAATAAAATTGGTCAAACCATTTCTTTATGGATATAGAATTGTGTGCCGGGATCGGAAAAGGGTCTTCCCCATATTGTTTCAAACTTGAGTTCCTTCACACCAAACCGGTCAAACCATATCTGCATGGAGCTAGAATTGTCCACAGGGAACAGAAAAGGATCTTCCCCAAACTGTTACCAGAAAGTCGGAAGCCCACAAGTGTCTAAACTTTAAACATTAACGTGATCACTTGGAGGGGTGTCCACATTCGTTTGGCCCTATAGAGGTGTGATGGTTAGATGTCCACAACCTTTTAGCTATAAGTGTACTTGGGCTCTCCCCTCCTATCAACATGCAGTCTGTGTTAGACTGACAGCAAGGTAATACAAAAAGCTCATATAGACAGAATGAGTTACAACATTATTATTTGTTTTAAACAAATACATGCGTGTGCATATTTCTATATACATGCAGCTCTGCTCTAAGGTTTTTGATCGCCCTACTCATTTATTTCATACTAAAACCTCTGCACACAGTACATAAAGATGGGTGTGCTCCCGTTTTATTTGATGCGTGACAAATATTTCTCTTTTTTTGTAAAACATTGTCCACGGTCCGATAATATTAATGGTTTCTCTGCCGTTTGGGTTCTCGTGAATATGGCTTCACCCCGTGTCAGCTTTCCACATTATGGACACGTATACGGCTCCTTTCCGGTATGAATCTTTTCATGAGCTTTTAGGTGTGATCGCAGCGTAAAACATTTACCACACGCTGAACATGAATACGGCTTCTCTCCGGTATGAAGCTTTTCATGAGTGATAAGATGTGACCTCCGAGAGAAACATTTCCCACACTCTATACATGCATACGGCCTCTCCCCTGTGTGCGCTTTCTTGTGTCTAGTAAGAACCGATCTCACCGCAAAACATTTCCCGCATTCCGAGTATGAATACGGCCTCTCCCCTGTGTGAACTCTCCGGTGACTAGCAAGAGCCGAACTCATCGTAAAACATTTCCTGCACTCAGAGCATGAATATGGTTTTTCCCCCATGTGAATTCTCTGGTGTCTCGAAAGAGCAGAACTCATTGTAAACCGTTTCCCGCATTCCGAACATGAATACGGCTTCTCCCCGGTGTGAGTCCTCTGGTGCGAGATAAGAGTCCCAAGCTGGGTAAACCGTTTTCCGCACTCGGAACAGGGAAAAGGCTTTTCAGCTGTGTGAATCTGTTGATGGAGGACGAGACACGACTTCTGTATGAAACATTTCCCGCATTCCAAACATACGTAGGGCTTCTCTGCGGTGTGAGTTTTCTGGTGATAGAGGAGTGCCCCCTTCTTGGCAAAAAACTTCCCGCATATGGAACACGGGAACATTTCGCCCCCTCTATGATCTGTGTGTTGTGTGGCGGGAGGGGCGTGTTGGAGGAAGCTCCCCCCGTGTGTAGAGGGTTCACCTAACAGCTCTGCACTGGTAAGTATGGGATGAAGGTACGGGGCAATGGTACTTCCTTCTGAAGAATCCACTGTGAGGCCAACATCTTCTATGTCACCACCTGGGGAGATAATAGAATCACTGCCGATGTCTCGTCCATCTGGGGGAAATAAGAGATGGAAGGGGATAGGAACAGTTAAAGGGCCATTAACCCTTTCGCTGCCAGGGCAATTAATTTTTTTCACACGTTACACATTTGTGGCTTAACAATGACTCGGAACTCATAAAACAGAAAACCCCAAGCCCTCCACTGTGGTGAAACCACAAATGCCATCATGCATCTGGGAGTCATGCCTGTGGCTTTCAGAGTCTTGCAGTGCCTCATGGGATTTGTAGTTGAACAGCAGCCAGAAGCTTGGAGTTTGCCTACCCCTGCTTTAGGGTATATTATATACAGCTTGATAAAACAGGTCAAACAGTTCCAGCTCTGTCTACCCGCAGTGTACCTTCTGGTCCCGAGCCTTGCTTAGCTGGTCTATAAATACTCGTGGTGAGTGGGGGGTGGTTTGTATAGACATCTTGACCTTGCCTGGCTCCACCAGGAAGGGCGGTTGTCCTGTAGATGAAGGTGATCTGAGTACTGAAGACCTTGTTTGCTTTATGTGGAACCTGAGTTGGTCACAGGATAAGCTTGTACCTCGTATGTTCCTACAGACCGTGGTGGTGACCATTTCTAGGCTTTCATTCCTCTGACTGCAGAGGTTTCCACTCTGTTATGTAAGGGTTTTTGACATGATGCGTTGCCCCTTCTGATGGCAGAGGTCAAAAACAGCCTCCGTCTTGTTTCCGCTATCAGAGTCTGACACGGAAGTGCAAAAAGGAGGCCTTTGGACTATCTAGGATTAAAAAGGTTCTCAAAACCTTTGTTAGTTGCAGATGGAATTATTCAGCCGGTTAGTCTCTTCATTGCAGAGAATGTTTAGCATTCCTCCACATAAAAGGATGCCACATTTTCCCAGGTCACCTGTGATTCCTTTCCTTTGGCCTACGCATCAATTTGTGGGCCTTCCCTTAAGGCCTTGCCTTGGAACTTAGAATGGTAACAAAAGGTCCTTGCACTGGCTTTTGGTCTTCTTTGTCTCAAAGGTATTGCAGTCATTAGATACGTGAACGATTTGCTGCGGTGCGAACAGCCTGACCCATGGACTACACTAGACCTCTGAAGGTATGCTGTGGTATCTGGCACAAATCTGTTAATAGCAGATCCTTTAAGTCCTGTAAGTTGTGAGGTGGAACCTCCTTGGATTGGACTTGTTTTTCCAGCACATCCCACAGATGCTCGATTGGATTAAGATCTGGAGAATTTGAAGGCCAAGTCAACACCTCAAACCCATTGTTGTGTTCCTCAAACCATTCTTCAACCATTTTTGCAGTGTGACAGGGCGCATAATTCTGCTGATGCAAATCTTCAAGGACTCTCTCCGTGGACACTAAACTTCAAGAAGAATCTCTGATTCTGTCACATGGCTTGGAGTACTTGGATCTTCTCCTGGATTCCTTTCAAGCCAAGGACTTTCTAAACAGGAGAAGCTAAGGAAACTGGAGTCAGGTTTGGCAGCTTTATTCTCGATGTTGGTCTTCGCTGTGTTGGGGCAGATGATATCAACCTTCAAAGCAGTTCCTTTGGCTTAATCCCAACCCCTTTACAGTGGAACATTCCCGTGTCATGGGACAAGTCCGGTCTTTCTCTGAAGAAAATCATCTGGCCACATCCTTGAACCAAGACGTCTCTTTCGTGGCTTCTGGTGCCGGCCTTGTCAGAGGGTAGGTTTCCTCTTCCCTTACATTGGAAGATCATCATGATGGCCGACAGCATTTTGGGTTGGGGCAGAGGTCTGGGCTGTCTGTTCACTGGATCTCACTTCTGACCAGTCATCTGGTCCAGTTTCAATCAGACAATGCCACAGCTATATCTAAGATCAATCATTATGGGGGCACCAAGAGTACTTCAGTGGCGACAGACGTAGAATCTAAGATGTTCTAGGTGGAACTTCATGTTCCAGCAATCTCAGAAGTTCCCATTCCTAGAGTGGAGAACTGGCAGGCTGGGGGAATGGTCTGTCCATCTGGAGGTGTTCCGGGACATATGACTGCGTCGTCGGGCACTGGCTCTACTAGCTTCTACTAAAAGCTGGAGAGGTTTGTTTTAAGATATGGAACCCAAAATCGAATGCAGGAGATGCTCTGAGATCATCGTAGGATCAATGTGCCCTGATCTATGCATCTGCTCCACTAAACCTACTAGGGGGCATTTCAGTAATTCCCGTAGCTCTGGATTGGCCTCGGAAAGTGTAGCATGCTGACCTCATGGATGATTCTGTGGCCGTTACCAAATCGTCCAGTTCTGTTATCTCAAGGACCGATCTTCAACTCTGCTTTTCAGTCGCTGGCTTTGATTCCCTGGCCGTTGAAGCCCAGATTCTGAGGGGCATTGCAGATTCAGTTATCCCGACCATGTTCAAAGCTTGTAAATCTACTTATTACAAGATATATCATCACATGGGGGGGGCACTTATTTTCCTCGGGGATTCCCCACATGCCTTATTTTCTCTCCAGTTGTGGGAAGAACAATGTTTAGCCCTCAGTACCGTCAAGTGTTTGTCCTGTTGGTTTCTTTTGAACATCTTCCTGATCATAATTCACTGATTCATACTTTCATTAAATTGTTTTTTTAAACACTGCTCCCCCTGTTCAGCCCCCACTCCAATCATGAGATTTAAATCTAGCATGGTTGGTGCAACAAGACCCCCGTTTGGACTTATTGGGGACATTCCTTTGACGTGTCATCGTGTAGGGAAGCTTTTCCTGTGGCCAACACTTCAGCTAAGAGGTTCTCGGAGATTTCAGCACGGTCTTGTAAGGAGATCCATTCGCGTTTTCACATAGAAGAGGTTGTTTGAGACCATGGCCCTCCATTTTACCACTTGAGAATATCGCGCTGTCTTCCCTATGTCCAGTACAAGTTCATCCTTAGGATATCTCTCTCCATTGTCCAGGTGTTTTAAGGGCTGTCAGCGTTTACCTCTTGGCTCCTGCCTCCTCCTTTATTTTATTCCTCTCACTCCGGCATGAGTGAAGACACCAAATTTGCGTTGCCCAATCCTCACCTAAGGAGCATTGGAATGTGCTTGGGCTTAAAAATCCCTTAATCTATTTTAGACAACTGATGTCTCCCTTGCCCTTTACCTGAGCAGATTGAGAAAAACTGCGCTCGAATTGCTGTTTCCCCATCCAAACCAGCCAGTGTTCTGGCAGCAATAAACCCAGAAGTGCTGCAGCGATCATTAATCTCCTGCCATGCTTTGGAAATCTCCTGTTTGCTTGTAAAATGTCACTGTACCAACAACAGTACACAACATCCAAAGGCCACTTATAAAGATCATTCCATTTCCATGGGATGCAGACAGATGTGGAGGATTCTGAGAGGGCCCCATGATATCACTCCTATTTCCAATAACACAGCACAGAGCTGACTGGAGAGGAGGATTCTGGGAGGTCACGGGACATCATTCTTATCTCTATCAATAAAACACAGACCTCACCGGAGAGGTGAGGAGGATTCTGGGAGGTCACATGACATCACTCTTATCTCTATCAATAAAACACAGACCTGAACAGAGAGGTGAGGTGGATTCTGGGAGGTCACATGACATCACTCTTATCTCTATCAATATAACTCAGATCTGACCAAACAGAAGGCCATTTGCCACAATTAATTTTACTGTCACAATTGATTTCTGTATGGGGGTGGGCCTTGCTTTGGAGTAGGCAGCGTTTAGTTTAAACTTGGCCCTTTATATTATTTAGTTCTGCCTAGGAGACAACTGTTCCCTGGGCACACAGGTATCAGCGTGAGCATTAACAAAGCTACTCACATGCACTATCTTTTAAAGCTGCATATAGTCACATATGGCCCTTGCCCCTCCTTGTTCCTCTCTGCATTAGTTGAGAGGGCCCTTGACGCTCCTTCTTAGCCCTCTCTGCATTAGCTGAGAAGGTCCTTGGCTCCCCTTCTTTGCCCTCTCTACAATTAGCTGAGAAGGTCCTTGCCCTTCCTTCTTGGCCCTCTCTACATTAGCTGAGAAGGTCATTGGCTCCCCTTCTTGGCCCTCTCTGCTTTAGCTAAGAGAGTCATTGCCCCTCCTTCTTGGCCCTCTCTGCTTTAGCTAAGAGAGTCATTGCCCCTCCTTCTTGGCCCTCTCTGCATTAGCTAAGAGGGTCCTTGGCTCTCCTTCTTGGCCCTCTCTACATTAGCTAAGAGGGTCCTTGGCTCTCCTTCTTGGCACTCTCTACATTAGCTAAGAGGGTCCTTGGCTCTCCTTCTTGTCCCTCTCTGCACTAGCTGAGGGGGTCCTTGCCCCCCTTCTTGGCCGTCTCTACATTAGCTAAAAGGGTCCTTGCCCCTCCTTCTTGGCCCTCTCTACATTAGCTGAGAAGGTCCTTGGCTCCCCTTCTGGTCCCCCTCTGCATTAGCTAAGAGAGTCATTGCCCCTCTTTCTTGTCTCCCTCTGCATTAAATGAAATCTGGATAAACTCTGGTAAACACCAGGACAAAATGTATGGAGAAAGAAAACACTTGCTCCGCCTCTGTTTTTTCTACCTTTGTGGCAGTTGGCACAAGTCCCTCCAAAAGGCCAAAATAGATATATAAAGAGAAAAGACCAGAGCACAACCAGTCCATTAATTCAGACACTAGGGGATAGGGGGTGTTTTTATTGGAGCACAGAGCTCAGGCAAGCTTCAAGAAGTTATATGAACCATGTTTGCATTTAGTGTTTATTACTCACCTGTGCCGATCTCTACAGGAACTTCCTCCTCCTTAACCGTTACAAGTCCAGCTTCTTCCTCTTGAGCTGTCAAGTCTCTTTGAGTGTCTCCGGTGTCTGTGAATAAAGATGAGAATGAAATTAAACCTCCTGAGATGTACGAGAGACCCCAGAGAGTGTATGTGGGGGAGACTGGTCACGTCTCTTGGATATGATGTGAGGAGGAGAGCCGGAGTCTAATAGAGGCTGATGGCTCCTGACTCCCCCCACTAGACACATTCCGTCCCCCCATTACTGTCTACTGACAGAGGAGGGGGGAGAAGAAGAGATTGTTGTAGTGACTGAACAAGGAGAATCTGGGGCTCTTTTCTGGATTTATTCCTCACCTGTGCTGATCTCTGGGGGAACTTCCTCCTCTTTAATCCTCACATGTCTTTCTTCTTCCTCCTCAGTTATGATGATTCTCTGAGTTTCTCTGGTGTCTGTGAATAAAGATGACAGTGAAGCCTCCTCAGATGTATGCGAGACCCCAGAGAGTGTATGTGGGGGAGACTGGTCACGTCTCTTGGATATGATGTGAGGAGGAGAGCCGGAGTCTAATAGAGGCTGATGGCTCCTGACTCCCCCCACTAGACACATTCTGTCCCCCCATTACTGTCTACTGATGGACGAGGGGGAGAAGAAGAGACAAGGAGAATCTGGGACTCTTTTCTGGATCTAGTGTTTTTTTTTAATCACCTGTGCTGATCTCTGGAGAGACGTCCTCTTCCGTACACGGCTCATCACCCTCCACATATGGCTCTTCTGCTTCCTCCTTCACTTCAACATTAATCATATTTTCATCCTGAATAAATTAGATTGTCCAATATAGAAAATAGTGATATTGGTTTGTTCTATCTCTTAAGGTCTTGCACAAATCCTCTATCAAATAAAACCTTCAGTTCCACCAACCTGATAGTCCTCCTTACTCGGCTCATCACCGATCACATACGGCTCTTCTGGCGTCTCTCTAGATTCCATTCTTTGATCAGTCTGGTTCCCTTCCAACGTTACCTACACAAGAAGGATGGTTCTCTTAAATAATGCCCTTCAAAATGTTAATAACTGCATATCTACACTCATATGAAACGGATGTAAGGTAAAGTAAACTTCTTAGGGGTGGGAGGGACCCTCCTCCGAATAAATCTTTCCTGTTTGACCAATGCAACTGGACCAACATGGTTGTGCCATGGAGGACGCATTTTGACCTGACTGCTTACTACTGCAAGGAGCCATATGACTCCAGAAGTGTTTTATAAGTCTGCTAATAATAATAATAGGTGATGTTTGATATTCAGTTTTGGATTCCATCTACCTGGTATTCCTGGAGCATCTTGAGATGTTCTGGAGCCACATTCTTGGAATACAGAGGACTAGGACATCTCTCTGGAGTATTTCTGTTCCTGGATCCATCTGTAGGAAACACACACACTGACTGAATACATTGTTTCTATATCTTTATATCAGAGGATGTGTGTATCTAGGGGGATCCTCAATACTCAAGAAATGAAAGTCTCCTCTTACCCGGTGATGTGTGGGGTGGCCGGTTCTCCATCATGGCGTCCTTGTGTCCCTCAATACACTCCCACTCCTCTACTGAAAAAGGCATAGTTCCATCCTGACACCATATAGGAACCTGACACACACAATGATACAGTCACCACCCAGACACATCCCTTGTCTGTTCCTGGATCATGTCCCAGAATTCCCGGCACCGCTCACCTCTCCCATCAGCAGCTCAATCATCTTCTGGGTGACTTCTTCAACTGTCTTGTTATTCTTTCTCCGGGACAGAGATGAAGGTTCAACGCCAAAGCTTTGGGTCTTCTTCGTGTTGGTCGCCACCAAACCATCGGATAACTTGAAAGCGATATAATTCTATTTTTGAGGAACAAACACCAAGTTATGCCACAGTACACATTGCCCTTCATTGTAATGTATGCCAATACAAAATTGGAGAGCAGGACTGTTTTATTAATAGAGATAAGAGTGGTGTCATGTGACCTCCCAGAACCCTCCTCACCTCTCCGGTCAGGTCTGTGTTTTAATAATAGAGATAAGAGTGATGTCATGTGACCTCCCAGAATCCTCCTCACCTGTCCGGTCAGCAGGTAGATGATCTCCAGGGTGAGGTCTAATATCCTCTCAGACATGTGACCGCGCTCCTTCTCCATGCTCATTGGTCATCTACGTAATGGACTCTCCTTGTAAACGATTTCTCCTTCAGATAACGTTAAACAATCCTGTTGGCTGGAATAAAAGGCAGATATATGAGGAAATCTAGCAGAGATATGAGATTAGATGGCATTGCAGAATAAATAACCCAGATGAGTGACAACCATCATAACAAAGAGTAAATATTCTCAGCAGATGACACAATGGGGCTAATAGGCCCGGACTGGTAAATAATACCTTCTTCTTGTCGGAGCCATTGGAGCGTCACTGCAGAAGGCCTGCATTGGACCTTATACCAGTGAGTGTCAGCTCCCCATGCACCATGTCTATAGTCCCTGTGTTATGTGTCTCTTAGGCGTTGTATGTACCCCAAATCCCCTCTGTAATATTGATCCCTACAGAGATCTAAAAACACCAGAGGAGACCAATTCCCCCAGTGCAGTCAGCTGACCCCTGACTGTGTGCTGTATATAGAGGACATGTGACTTGAACCACAAGTTCACACGACCCTGTCTCCCCATCCAGGTCCCCCCTTCTTTTATAATAAGAAGACATTACCTTCTCCTCAGTGGGAACACACTCTCCACCCTCATATCCCCACAGGAAGTTCCCTAATCTCTTCCCAACAATCCCTTCTGGCTCCAACAAAATGGCCGCCTACTGCAGTGAGGACTCGTTGTCTTTTTAGTCTAAAAAACAGCGAACCTTTCAAACCTCTGTAAAGTTATCATGGAGCGCTGAGAGGTTTTTGTAACCCACTCGCCTTTCTATCTATTTCTCTGCCGAAAAGTGAACTTGTCTGCCTGAAGGAGAAACAAGAGTCGGACGACATAAAAATGGCCACTACCGACATAAAAATGGCCACTACGGTCGGGGGGGGGGGAAGTCTCTGGAGGATCGTGCGTCACTATGGCAACCAGGAAGTAGTTGGGCGTCCTATGGAACGCATACAAATGGAATTTCGGGAGCCACAGGACGGAAGTGGGAGGAGAATAGTGATGATAGAGAGGAGACAGGCATCTGGTGAGGGTAGACGAGGTTTTACATTGACATGCTGAGGCAACTAGGCTAATGTATGTATATGATATTGATAATACATTTTAGTCGTTTCCAGTAATAGGTTCCAACTTCCAAGTAGGGTTGTCACCCTTTCTTGAAGCGAAACCCGAACACTCTAGCGACGCTCTGAAATTTTTTTTGAGATGGAGTCGTTGCTTAGGCCTCATTCACACGAGAAAAAGCCGGCACATACAGCTCTGTGCTGCGCGTAAGGCCGCGTCCTCCCATAGAGAAGGACAGGGGCTGCGTACTAATCACACGCAGCACCTGTCCTTCCCGGGAGCTGAGCGATACGGCCGTGCACGGAGCTGTACGTGTCAGCTTTTTCTCGTGTGAATGAGGCCTAATTCATATGTAAATAGTGCCGCCCATTCATATGTAAATATCACAGTTCAGACTATTTCCAGTGGGGGGCCAGTAGCCCCTATCTTAATTTTGGTGTCCCCTGTCTCCCTGACATCTTGTGTCCGGGTTTTTGCTGCTACCCGGACACAACATTCACAACCCAAACTCTCCGGGTGAATCCTGGACAGGTAGCAACCCTAGTTCCAAGCCCCATTTCTTCCACCATGTCCCCTAGATATCCCATTGGTGGTAGGCATCGTGGTATGATGTGCTTCTCCTTTCCCGGCTTCAGTTCCCGCCTCAAAGTTCAGCCAAACTACGGCCCTCCAGCTGTGGTGGAACTACAAATCCAATGAGGCATTGCAAGATTCTCACAGCCACAGACATGACTTCCGGAGAGAGATGCATCATGGGATTTGTAGTTTCACCACAGCTGGAGGACCAGTGTTTGGATACCCCTGCTTTAAAAAATAAGTGCACCTCAAAATAAAATTTAATTAATCCTTTTTTTCACTCCCCTTCCCTCGAACGCACTCAACCCACCCTCCCCCTCCGCAGATGCATACTTACCTCAATCCTCCTCCCCCCTCCCATAGACTTCTACATCCCGAGGTCAGAGATGGTCCCATAGACGTCTGTGGAAATGAAGACTCTGTAAACTAGGGTGACCATTCGTCTCCGATTTCCGGGGGCAGCCCCCGAATAGAGGAGACCGTCCCCGGGAACACAAATTGGAAGAAAAAAAACCCATTCACCTGATCCCTGGATCCAGCGCCGAAACTCTGCAGGCACTGCCAGGGCACCTGTGACCTGTAGGCCCCGGGGAAGTGGGGCCTTGGAGCTAGAGCTGCAGCTAACGATTATTTTCAAAATCGATTAGTTAGCCGATTATTAAGTTCGATTAATCGGTTAATCGGATAAACAATAAAATACATTTTAAAAAATGGCTCCAGTGATGGACTACTAGTTTGTATTGAGATTGTAGTCCATCACAGGAGCAAGCTTGGAGCGGTGGAAGTAAAAAATAAAAAAAATAGTGTGGTGTGCAATATAGTGAAATGGAAAGTGTAAAATTATACAGCAATGAATGCAGAATGGCACCGACTACAGAGGACTACAAATCCCAGCAATAGTACATTATAGCTGGTGGTATTCTGCATTGCGCTGTATAATGCATTATTGCTGGGATTTGTAGTCCTCTATACATCGCAATGCAGAATACCACCAGCTATATAGGAGTACAACAAGTCCCAGCAATACATTATACATACAGTGTATAATGTACTATTGCTGGGATTACAGTCAGTCAGTGGGGAGGGAGATTTAATACGACGGGAGGAGGCAAGCACTGCAGGTATCAGGAGCCCTCTTGAAGGTTACGCTGCTGCTTCTTTCTATTCACATACATATATGTTTATATGTATGTGAACATATTTTATATACTGTATGTGCATTATGAAAAAGGATGCACAGACACGCTCTTTGAAAAAGCTGGGGGGTCCAGCAAAACATCATTTTTATCCATGATGGCTCTCAGGTTGTTTGTCACTACTGTACACCAGATCATATAACATGTGTAGTATTTGTCTGGTGCACCAACACCAGTACACTGATACCATTGCTTGAAAAAAAACATTTGACTGCCGTAAGGTCCCATGCTTGCTGAGGACCTCACGACAGCCTAGGGGCGACCTCGCAGCACCCATTTACAGAGCCAGCCGCACATCTCCTCCTCCTTCCCACAACCCGCGCCAGCCTGGACTCGCCTGCACAGCCCTGGTGAGACCGCACACAGCCCTGGTGAGACCCAGCGCAGCCCTTCTGAGACCCTGGAGACATCAGCCCACCACCCAAGAGCAACACAGTGTATCTAGCTTTATATTTTTCTGCATTGCTGTATAATGTATTGCTGGGATGTGTAGTCCTCTATAGCTAATGGTATTATTCTGCATTGCTGAATAATGGATTGCTGGGATTTGTAGTCCTCTGCAGTTGGTGGTATTCTGCATTGCTGTAAAATGGATTGTTATGATTTGTGGTCCTTTATAGCTAATGGTATTCTGCATTGCTGGGATTTGTAGTCCTCTCCAGCTTGTATTATGCATTGCTATATAATATTTTGCATTGCTATATATATATATATGAGAATATATTTATATACTGTATGAGATTTTTAAAAATATAAATATATATATATATATTTATATATATATAAGGTATGCACCAATATCAGTATGCTGATATCGGTGCTTAAAAAAACCATTTGGCTACTGTAAGGTCCCATGCTTGCTGAGGACCTCACG